TCATCAAGGGGGGTATGCTTTCTTTAGCCTTCCTTTTCTGGTTGATACACCTGTAGAAGCCCTGCTTGTTATTCTTTACGTCCCTTGCCAAATTCAGCTCCATCCTCGCCTTGGCCTTCCTGACCGCCTCCCTACACAACTGGGCCGTTTCCCTGTACTTTTCCCAGGACACCTGTCCCTGCTTCCACTGCCTGTGCAGTTCCCTCTTACTCTTTAGTTTGACCAGCAGGTCTCGACTCAGCCATGCTGGTCTCTTCCCTTCCTTGCCTGATTTTTTACACTTGGGGACTGATAGCTCTTGTGCTCTATGGAAGGTGTCCTTAAAGATCTGCCAGGTCTGTTCCGTTCCCCTGTCCCTGAGGACTGTCTCCCAGGGGGTCCTTCTGACTAACTCCTTGAAGAGCTGGAAGTTTGCTTTCCTAAAATTTAGGGTCCTGATTGTACTCCTCGCTTTTCCCATGTCCCTCAGGAGCGTGAACTCCACCAATGCATGATCACTGCAGCCCAAGCTGCCTCCAGTCCTGACATCACTGATGAGCTCAATACAAGTCTCATACAACATAACACACAGACAAGGAAAATCAGAATTCCAGTGAGGTACAGGTATTTTTGTCCCCCTTACCCTGGCTTGATACTGGAAAACTGTCTTCATATGATAAAATAAGTATTTGAGCACTGCCAATATGCTTTCTACTGTGTGGTGAGTATGCACCTGTACATCGAAAATGTTAGCTCCACATAATCTCCTTGTGTCCCATACTGATACACTGCAAAAAATATCTGTTAAATGTAGAATATGAGAACTGTGGATTTCTGAGTTACCACTCTTGTTGTGAGAATGGAAATGTAGGAACTGCAATAATGTTAATGTTAGACCAGTAAGCTGCAGAAAGAGCTAAGTATGAGAATTCATTTGGTCTCAGCCTGGAAAGTAGCACTGAAAGGCATTTCAAAATTATCTTATTAAGTGCAACTTCTTTTCCTACTTCCTGAGTTTTGCAAGAGGATAGACGCATAGAGTGTCAGTGGACTTGTCTAATCAAACTTTTCCAGTGGTAACACCTGTGCGGTTCCATAAGCAATAGCAAAATATGGGAGTGCCAGTGCAAATAAAGCACCAATGGCTGCCAGTGCTTCTATTTCTGGATCACATAGTTCTGCCCTGAGTATGGTTAGAAAACTTGGGTGCCACCCACAGGCATCACTGATGGGAGGTGCATAAGGGAGTAGGTAGGAATCTTTTTTACAGACAGGGGACCAGTGTAGACATGGTTGCTGCTTCAAAGCTTTTTTCCATGGATCTTTGTGACTGTATGAGCACCTTTCTGTGTTAGTACAAGTTGGTATGCCTGTGCTTATATGTGCCCATGCATGCACATTGTTTAAATGTAAGTGTGCATTTCTAGTGAGCATCTGTGCAAAGCAAATAACTACTGTTAAGATGGAGCTTGGACTGTTTATGACTCAGTTTATACAACATGATTGCTGGCTAATGGCCTTAAAGTCTATTCTCCTGCGATGCCATCATGTCTGTTCATATGTGTCTTTTGTATCTGTGTGTATCTGAGAGTGAAAGAAGCTAGAACTGTTCCTCTTATGGTGATGCCTGTGTATTTGTGTGTAAGTGTGTGTATGTGTTATAGACAAGGCAGGTTAAGTGTGCTTGCTTTCAGAGTGTACCCGAAAAGCTTGGTGTTGCTGCTCTATTATTGCTCCTTCGATTGGGTTCAGTTGTAGCCACACCCTGAAAACAGGTGAATTTGCTGACATTAAGAATCAAAGGAAATAAAAGATGAAACAGACTTCCTGTGATATCTTGAAGTGCAGATATATTCCATTTTCCTCTTTCTGCTGCCTCTGTTGTGCAGCTGATAAAGCATATTTTCACACCCTAAATTTAAGCATGAGAACAAACTCTTTTTAGTGTTTCATCCTCACCAACTTCTGTAAATCCATATTAGTATCAATAAGAATGCCATATATTATTATTAACATTTGCCATTGTGGTTAATTGCCTTGAACCCATAGCTGAAAGTAAAGTAAATACTTACAGGATAAAAGTCCCAATGCCTGTAAAACATTCTAGATCATACTGTTTGTGAAGCTTTAAGTCTTAAATTTTTGGCAATGTTTATAAAAAACAGTGGCTAAATGTACATGCCTTGGCCTTTCTGTCAGTCGTCACTATTCACCACATTCATTTTTGCAATTTGGAAATAGTAGTCCAGGTCCTCTGGTGATGTAAATCAATGCAGCATCACAGAGCCTATTCCTATCTTATGACTTCAGTCCTCAGTAATCTGTAATGCAGAACAGCTGAATTCTACATCAGGGATGTGTTTTGGGAGGCCTGCAGTCCTGGCGCAGCTCAAACACACTGGCATACACTGGTGAATGTAGCCCTGTCTCAGCGGGGTTGTACACATGACAAATACACAGTCAGAAGGTTTTGTAGGTGTATGATTGCACATGCTAAGGGATTAGGCTAGTGATAGCTGAAAATACGGCTGGAAAGGTGCATGCTTGCACGGGCTCTCGATTTTCAACTACAAATGCAGAAGAGTTCCGGATGTTGTGATTCAGATTAGTTATAGAACTGGCAATGTTAAGGAGTTGGTACCAGAGAGCCCTAATGACGAGACTTTTTTTTTCCTAGTCTTTGTGGAGCAATAATACGAGTTATGGCAGGGGCTGTGGTCAAGAATGACAGATATTTTGTATGCATGCTCCTGATCTGTTCATTTGTTATGGACTAGAAGGTAAAAGGCTGAGCGATTCTGAGGCATCTATGAAGTGTTAACTAGAAGTGTATTAGCTATTCCTTAAACATAATTAAGTTAATGACTGATTTTTTGTGCATATGCCTACCCAATTGCTTGTGAAGCACTGTAGATCAAGCTTAATCTTAACTTCTCTCTGGTCATGCAGTCTACCATTCATAGGATTTGGTAGTGGATATCCTATATCATTCTCTAAGCCTCAAAGTCCCAGTGCTGCTTCTTCACACAACCACTGATCATGAGGGGTAGAAAGCTCCATATTCAGATTACTTGTTACTTCATAAATCATCCTTCTTCCTGATAAATTTCCTTAATATTCTTTGTGTCTGTGCAGAAGACAGAGGTCGGAGACCCACTTGCTTGTAATTGAACATGGCAGGGGGTGTAAAACGATTAACACGCATGCTACTGGAATGCAACAACAATGACAAGCTATGTGGTAAGATTCACAGATTCCCTTAAGTTATAAGCTTTCACATGCTGAGCAGGAAGGTCCGCTTTGCTAAAAAGTGGGCCAAGCCCTTTCCCCTCTTCCACCTGCATCCCAGCCCACACAGAAGGATTTGACTGAGCTCTCCCTGCATTGTGTCTCAGGGTAGAAACTTTTAAGGAGATGCAGCCTTTGTGGTGGGATTCATCTCACATAATTTTAGCCATTTTAGAGTATTTCTACTTTGAGACATAATACAGTCATTAAAGATTCCCTTCTGCTTCCCTAAGGACCAGTCTTGTGAGATTCTGATTTCATGACTTTCTGTCATCTTTGGGAACTGAAGTGTGGTCTTGCCCTACACAAAGATAGCACCATCTCCAAATATGGGTGCCTAAGAAAGTTAGTTACATGCAACATCCTTGTTAATTGCAATGTAAAATCCAAACCAGGTGACCATGCCCTGTTTTCTTTAAAATGCTCCCTACAATTTTAATGGAAGGAGATGAACCTGTAATTGCATGTGTATTTGTGATGGCACAGTAATATCCAGCCCTTTCTATCTCCCTCCTATCCTTCTGCCAGGGCTTGCTTTGTTTCACTGGTGGATGATACTTACACATGGCTACAATTCCTAGCCTCTGTATTAAGGCATCTAAATAAGTGACCTTAGGTGTGGGAGCCCAGTGGTTTCATGCAGATTAGGTACTTGGCACCTTTGAAAAACAGGGTGGCAGCACTGACAGTATTCAGTTGCTATTCCAAGGAGCAGAGGACAGATACACATGCTTTTGGGGTTGAAAGTTACTGAAATGGGTTATTACTACTTTTTTATACAGAACCAATGTGCACCAGGCAGTGCTGCTTATTCCTTGGCTTCCCATTTTCTTTTTCTGCTGATAGTTGTGCGTGAATATCAGATTGAAGTGATTGTTGTCCCCGTTTTCCTTGTGGGTTTTTTTGTCATCATGCTAACTGTGATCCTTTGGCTCCACTGTCGAGGCTTGCGAGCAAAGCAGGAGCAATCATCATCATCTGGACACCAAGGTAAAAAAAATGTGTTTCAACCAGAGGGAAGAGTGTTGGTTTCAGTGGCCAGAAGTCAATCCCATTTCCCCATTGCTTGAGCTGTTAGGCAATAGCACTTACAAAGAGCCTGAGCGGTATTCAGTAGTCCAGTGAACATTAAAAAAACTGGGAATCCTGATTTACCCCACTTGCAGTAGTAATAGTGGAATCTGTAGTACAGATGGATCTGAGAAAACCTAAAGCAACGTACCATATAGGCTGATTAACATACTGTGGCGACATCACTTGAGAGCTGTGAAGTGTGTTTATGTAACAGCCTTCTAGATGCTACTGCAAGGAGAGTTTCACTGGGGTGATTATGAATGACAGTTGTTTTGATGTAGATCACACCTAGTTAATCCATTTTCTATACTGTCATTTAAGAAATTTAATTTCAAGCTGCTGTCTCCCATTTCCTATGGGGACAACAGGAAATAGAACAGGGACTGGTGAGGGGATAGGGAAAGGTTTGTTGGTACTGCAAACACATGTTGCTGCATGTAAATGAAAATCAAGTTCTGAACTGATTTTGGGGTTGTAGAGGAAAAAGCCTCTTCAGCCTATATAAAGGGAAATAATTAAGAACAAAGATAGGGCCTTTGCGGGAACACCCTGTGCATGTCACTTTTGTAACAACTGGTAGCTGGTGATAAAAGAAAATGGCGTTGCTTCAGCACATGGGAATCAAGTACAAATGTGTCTTATCTGGAGAGTTTACATAGTTAAGTAAAATAGAGATCTCCAGACTTATTCTGCCTTTTCATCAAATAGAGTGGGAGATAAATTCCTTTATCTCTTCAAGGGCCAAGATAAGTAAGGTACGATTACAGTTCCTTACTTTGCCCTAATTTCCAAAACTGTATGGAGCAAAAATCAAAGAGGATAGAAGGGTGGGCATTGCTACCTACTACAAGAGTTCATCTGTCTGCTTTTATGCATCACGTGTATTTGGTTTTGTCAGAGAACATAGGAAAACAGCTCAACGGAGAACCTCTATATCCACCTGAGTGAGACATCTGTGGAAAGTCTGCTGAATTCTGCATCCTTGACTCTGAAAGAACTGGAGATACCACGAGAGAAACTCTCACCAGGCACCTTGCAGCTGATAAAACATGGCCGATATGGGAGCATCTACAGAGCACAACTGGAAACTGGGAACCCTGGGGAGACTAAGACTGTAGTATTGAAAGCCTTACAAGGTAAGGCACATGGCCAGGATGCACTTTGGTACAGATCTCTGTATCAAAAGACATGGCACTGGGCAGAACTTTGCAGTTATTACTGGGCAAGAACAAGCTGTTTTCAGTATCATGTTAGCTAGTCAGAGTGGTGTTTTGGTAGGAGTGTCTTGGTAGGACTAAAGAAGGTTGCCATTCATGTTGGTTTTAAAAGCTACTCACCCTGTTCTTTGATGCCTCCCATTGTTTTTTTTTGTTTGGTTGGTTGGGTTTTTGTGGTTTTTTTTGTTGTTGTTGTTCTTTCAGACCTGGGTAGTCCCCAGGAGGTAAAGGATTTCCTGGGAAGGATTAAGTTCCATCAAAATCTTGGCCGTCATGAGAACCTGGTTGAACTGGTTGGATGCTGTATAGACCAGCTCCCACTTTATGTGATCATGGAGAATGTGTCTCTTGGTGACCTGTTGACATTCCTATGGACATGTCGGAGGGTGAGTCAAAAAAAGTGATGATAGAATATCTTCTTAAATTCCTTAGGTACATATCTATCCATAAGTCATAGTCCATAAGTCATAGATGATTCTTTTCATCTCTCCATGCACCCATCTATATCAGTCTAAACTATTTCCGTCCCCTCAAAGAAGTTCTACACAAGTCTAAACTGGAATAGAATTAGTGGATATCTCAATTGATATGATATAGTTTGGAGAGGTTGACATACTTTTGTGAAGTGCAGTCCTACTTTGAAGACCATTGGAGTGAGAGTTGATACAGCTACCTGAATTTCTAAAAAGTTTAAAATAATGTCCTGCTCTGAATGCTTTTAAGAAAACAGAGCAGTTATGACACCAGGGAGAAGGTCATTGAATGACAACTAATTGATTAAAAGACAGGAAACAGAGCATAAAAGTGAAAGGTTGGTACTTGCACAGAGGGAGGTCACCCATGAAATTCTGCTGGTATATATGCTAGGACCTGGTGCTGTTCATTGCATGTATCAATAACCTAGAAAATGGGATGACAGTGAGGTGATGAAGGTTGCCAATGATACCAGCCAGTAAAGGCAAAGACTGACCTTGAGGAATTGCAGAACGATCTTCCAAGATTGGCCAATAAAAAGAACAAATTAAATTCAGTACAGTTAAAAATGAAATGATGCCCATGTAGAAAAGTAATCCTAGCTTCACATATATAGTGATGGCTTCATACCTGCCCATTGCTGATGAGGACTGAAATCGTGGGACTGATTTTATGAAAATATAGTCTGATGAAAATGTTAACTGAAGCCAAAAAAGAAACCATTAGGTTTAATTAGGCATTATTAAGAAAGGCATAGAAACAAAACTCTGCCATGTCACTACACAAATCCATCATTGTCCTACAGCTGGAACACTAAATACAGAGAGATTGCTTGCTGTCTTGTGCAGCAGAAGGACAATGTGATAGTAAATAAAGCTAGTAAGTGCCGTGTTCAAAACAAAGAAATGGAGGTGGCTCTTCATGAAGTGGGGAGTTGACTAATGGAATTCCTTGCCACTGACTGCTGTGGATTTTGAAACTTTACATGGGTTCAAGACAAGAGTGAATATATGGAACATAACCTTTCAAAGGTTACTGAACATGTTGAAACCATAACCATCTCAGGAGGTCCTCAAGTTGAAAATAGTTGGGGGCTGGAAAACTACACAGGAAAAGCATTGTGTGCTTATCTTATTCTCTTTCTCTCATCTGGGTATCCACCTAGGGTCACTGTTACAGGCAGGGTAAGCGAGTAAGGGAGATGGACTGCTAGTCTCATACCAGGTAACCATTCATATGTTAGAAATGTGCTCTTCTACTCATCATTCTAATTTATTTCTATATTCATTCATCGGTATGGATTGTCATTCTCCACTGTCATGCTGCCCATTTCTGTCTAACCCAGTCATCTCTTCTCCACCCTTCAATTTACCCACCAGTTGTCTCTAGTGTACTTGTCTTACCCAGCACACTATCCGTCCATCCACGTCACCCACCCATGTACGCTTATATTTCAGTCAGTTTATGACCAATTGTGAAATTAGCTGGTGGAGCATGTCCTGGTTTTGGCTGGGATAGAGTTAATTTTCTTCCTAGTAGCAGGCATAGTGCTGTGTTTTGGATTTAGTAGGAGAAGAATGTTGATAACACACTGATGTTTTTAGTTGTTGCTAAGTACTGCTTATGCTAGTCAAGGACTTTTCAGCTTCCCATGCTCTGCCAGGTACACAAGAAACTGGGAGGGGGCACAGCCAAGACAGCTGACCCAAACTGCCCAAAGGGCTGTTCCAATAATACCATATGACATCATGCTCAATATATAAACTGGGGGCGAGTTGGCCGGGGGGCAGCGATCGCTGCTCGGGAACTG